ACATCATGTGCCCAACTAAATTTCATGAGAATGCAACAAAAATGATCAAGAAATGCCAACATAAACCATTTTTACAGTATTACTATTGAGATGGGAAAGGAGAATTATCAGCATACTTGGACATTCTCTGCATTTTTAAAGTGACAATTCCAGCAGCAATATTGGCACCAAACTGGACTTGATGGTGATGGGAAATAACAAGGGCATGTGTTTTGCTTTAATAATTGTGGTGTCACCTGCTAACCTACCCTGACCATCTTGGTATAAAAATGAGGTTGGTGCAGTCTGGTATGTTTATATATTATTTCTTAAAGTTTAGATGATGTTACTATATTCTTCTAGTCTAAGAGGAAAACACAGGGTTCTCCAAATGGGGATAATGTACTGGGTGGCGTGAGTATCTGTTGCTGTGATTCTCAGCATTTTTCAAACATCCATGTGATGTTCTGCTGACCTGTTCTGGCAATCCTAGGTAACAGATGCAATATTTTCCACCTTGAGTGAGTTTATTTTTATTTCTACTTGACCCCAGTAGATATGCAAGATTCCAGTGAAGTTCTCCAATGACAAGTGGGCCATGGTTATTACAGCAATGCTGGAGAAACTAAAGGTCCCCAGATGTTGTTGTGCTTCAGCTGTCAACACTCCAGACTGGAGTTGACTTGAACTGGGCTGCTGCAATCAAAGAAGGCTGTAAGTTCACCATCTTTGTTTCAAAGCGTGTACATCATGACAAGAGTCAGTATGGTGTAATGGTTTGAGCAGAGTAGCAGTCTAATATAGATCCTCACTCAGTCATAGAAAACAACTGGACAACTCTTGAGTGATCCCAAGGAAAAGTTACATTCTCTCAAACTCAGAGAAAGACAAAGGCAAAAACACTTCTGAAAAATGTTTGCCAAGAAACCCCCATGATAGATTTGTCATGAGTCAGAAATGATTTAAAGAACGCCTTTGACAACAAATGTAAAGACACACAACAAAAATATTATATTTTGACCTTCTGATAAAATATTCTATGAACAACAGTAATGGTCTCTTTCTCAACATTCACAGTTGGGCAACACATTGTTTACAATGTTGCATTAGCATACTTCAGAACTCACCAGAGTTGATGGTGCAAAAAAAAAATTACAGCATGAATGGGCAAAGAAACAGAACAAAGACCTTGGGTCGAATATTTTCGCAACTTGCTATTACTAACATGCTTAACTTTTTGCTAATATGCTTGCTCTTCAAATGTTTATACTAGACTTAATTTTAAAAGACTTTTCTTGGCTCCTGTATTTAACATAAGCAGCAGATATGAACCAAGAAATCTCCACCCCAAACTTCAAATACACTCTTAAATTCCTAGGGAGAACAAGTGATGAAGGTAGCATTTTTAATATAACTGTGAAATAACTGAGCATCTGGCTTCTTGGGGCTCACAGATCACTGGACATAAGCCCAATGTCTGCTCACCAAATCCCTTTTCAATACAGGATTATGGGTGCTGAAATCATATTTAGATACTGACCTTCACTGATGCTCAATGCTGACATTTAAGAAAGCAATAAATGCTGAGTCTCAACACAATTATTTTATGTCCTATAAATATAAAATTTAATTAAACTAAAAAAAAGAAGAACATGGATTCCTTAAATGCTTTGCCCTTTCTACCCAGTGTAACAAGTCACTGGTCTAAGGCCTATTTTAATCTATGGGAATGCAATGTAGTCTGCTGACAAAAGCACTACAGCTAGCTAATAACCACTAAGTACTACAAGAGAGCACTACCGTTTTCTCTGCAGGGTGGAATGAAAGTCAAGTCAAAACCTTCACAGACTTCAGACTTGTTTGATCCACTTATTTTTTTTCAAAGGATGAAAATGTATTTCCTACGATGAAATGAATTCTCCCCTGCACATCTGTCTGGAATTTCTTTGCACCTCTTTCGCTTAAGTTGTGAGACTTGTTTTTGCTAAAATACATGTTAGAGCAGTAGAAATGAAATACTGCTGTAAGAAGTAATATTAAAGGATAATCTGGGGGGGGGGGATCCCACAAATGATGTGAGACATACACTGGAAGAGGGCAATCAGACAATCTAAAAAAGACAATATAAGAAAATAACAAACTCCAAACAAGCAGGTGAAGATTAGGGAGACACAATGATAATACTTTTGGAAGGGCATTATTGTTTATAATTGTTATCTCAATGTTTAAATTACATAAGCAAATCTCAGCAAATGATAGGGTTTTTTTCCTGTATCTTCCACTATTTCTTATGAGATTCATATAATGTTTCCAATTTTCCCCATGAACCCTTGCACTTCTATAAACTTTTTATTCCTACATTCCAAGTGGGTTTATTTTTATTCCAGTACTTTAAAAAATTAAAAATGGATCAGTTATTCGCCAATGTGTTTCTACTGTCTGCAAGCTTTCTATTCCACTTTGGGCATCCACTCCATTGACATTACCAACAACATATCTAAAGAGGGGGATCCTTTACACAGAAGCTTTCCAAGCTGTTGTGTCTTGCAATGAATTACATCCCTCCTCTCTGTATTTCTTGTTCTGTATTCTTGGATAAACAGCCTGTTCTGTATTAGATTGCACTGAAACAGCAAGCGCATACTTTGGAGAATTACTGGATCCATACATTTCACAGGAAGTGGACTTGGTGACGCAGACTACTTGGCAACATCTTCAATGTGTGCTTCAGCTATGACTTTTACTGGACAGAGATAAAATAGCTACAGTAATTCACTGATTAGACTACAGTCAGTCCTCTGTATCAATGGATTCTGTACCCATGGATTCAATCTTCCACAGCTTGAAAATACACCTCTCCCACACCCCCACCTCCCTCAAAAATATGCAAAAAGCAAACATTGCTTTTGTTATTTTATATAATGGACTAGTACATTGTATATAATGGAATTTACGTATTCTTGGATTTGGGGCTGGGGGGCTGTTCTGCCCAAAGTTTCATGGAAAGTGTCTTTAGTAAATATTTAAAATAGCAACAAAAGATCAACTGCATGTAATCATGGTTTATGTAATCATTTTCCCACAATCTGTTTCAGAAGTCAGTTCTGGCTGCATCAAAATTGACTCACACAGACATTTCTTGGAATGCCTTTCTTGGGACTGATGGCAGTGAGGATAAGTCAAAGCGTCCCGTCTGTATTCAGTATGCATTCAGTCAGAAAAAAACTGGGATACATACTGATAGAAATGGATTATTTCATGTGACGAGGTCCTAACATTTTCATCATTTTTTGCCTTTGGTTATGGACAGATGTTGTTATTGTTCACAGAAAGCTTCTAGGCGAAGTGCTTTTCAAGTATTCCTTCTACAGCACTATTAGATATTTAGCCCTGTCTTTCGTGTTTGCTCTCCCCTTGCTGACTTACAGGGCCAATTTTCTGAACTTTTCTGTCTGTTTCAAAGCCATTCTCCTGCAGCTGCCAACTCTGCCACTGTCATGACACAGAATGTTTCTAAGTGCCAAAAGGGATCTCACGTAATGACTGAATGACTGGGGTTAGCATTTAGGGCTCACCCTGAGCTGGTGTAGCCTGCTAGAGGTTATTAAAATTGTTCCTGTGGCAAAGAGTCAGAGTTCAGGCCATCCATGCATGCATCTAAGCAACTGGAAAGCATAAATGGGCCCTGGCCATTGACATTTTCTGCAGATTTCCTAGCTATATCATTTCAGATATGCACACAAACAAATAGCTACAGAGACTGAAAATTATACTGCTTCTAATATAGGATCATATGCATCAGAAATAATTATTTTCTCTCCAGATCCATCCTGGACTTTTAATTAGGCTTACATGCCCTTAGAACACTTGTTCCATTGTTTAGGATCAAGACATCAAGCAATATTATTACTCTCTCCATCTTTCTAGGTTCAAGAGAATGGCAGGCAGAATCAAAAGCCAGAACCAACCACAAAAGATTAAAATATCCTCTGTGCGATGAACAACTTGTGCATCCAAATGCTTTGTTTGCTGAAAGGTTGAAATTAGCATTCACCATTTAATTCTGAACTACATGTATTAGACAGGTCAGATTCAAAGTATTTTTGTGACATGCCTTCCAGTAAAATCTAAATCAGTATTTAATGCACAATTAAGCACGATTAGACAATCTTGAGTTCATCTGTATTAACCCTGTATAAAATTGAATTAATCAATTTAATTTCTATGAATAAGATACAAAGGTATTAGAAACACTGGAAACCAGCTTTTGTAAAATAAATGGGATGCTTACAAAAAAAATTCAGATCCTTACAATTCTGCAAAATAATTAATATTGAAACAATACTGAAACAAAGATTTCATGGCTACAGAGAGGCTTTTTTTTTTACATTAAGTCTCAGACTCACTTCATAAGCCATTCTTGTGAAAATCCTTCCGAATTTGCCCCCTCCAGATTGGCTGTGAGCTGACAATGTTCCAATGTCATAAATAAATAATGCTCTAATGTACTACAAGGATATCTAAGTCAAATGCATTTCTCAACTGCAGAACTAACCATGCCTGCAAGGAAAACTATTTGTGTGTGTGTGTGTGTGTGTGTGTGTGTGTGTGTGTGTGTGTGTCAGGAGCAATAGTAAACGTTCTTTGACCCAATCTTACAAGAAAATCCTAAGGTTGCCACAAGTTATGAGTTGACAAGTAGGCACATAGTAACAACATCCACGCATGCATCTAAGCAACTGGAAAGCATAAATGGGCCCTGGCCATTGACATTTTCTACAGATTTCCCAGCAATGGTGTTTATGGACACCTTGTTATTTGTGACATGCATGTGAGTAATTTCTTTGTATCAATTTGTCCATGTGTGATGCAGCTGTCTTTGGCTCTTCCTCTCATTCCAATAGTAAATTTCACTCTACCAGAGCTGGTAACCTTTGAGCCCAAGCAGTACTTTCTGCAACAGAAAGACATCAGTGGAAAACAAAGCAAAATAAAGCAAAGCAAAACAAAAGCCTTGATACCTCTTCCAGTTCCCAGTGTCTCCTTCTATGTTTGTTTTGGATAACATGGCACTGGAGAGCACTCTGCTTGGAGTCCTTAACTGGAAAGTGTTTTGATTGTTCCTGCTTGGTACTTAAAGAAGCGACAGCAGCATCCTCCATTTCATCTGTTTGGTTCTCTTCTCCCTCAGAAACACAACCACCACTTTCTTTCAGTTGAAAGCCTTGGATCAACAGCTGACAGGCCTCTATGTCAACTTCCCACACTCTTTCAAGAAGCTGGCTCCCACAGCTGAAATCAAGCCAAAAGAAAACAAAAACACAATTTAGAGGCAAGGGTTCACATTCTCTGTAATGCTTTAGACTTCTTTCCTTGTTGTTTTTAAAACTGAAAAATAGTAGTTCTCATATAGAATTCAGGAGATCCCCCTCTAAAATAATTAATGAATTATTGCTTCCTGAACAAATTACATGGCTTTTTTGTTGTTGTTTATTTTGTTTCTTTGCAGACTCTATGTCTTGTTCATTTATCATTCTCAAGACTTATTTCTTCCTGACCACAGAATGGCCATGAGTCAATCAATGCCTTATGACTTTGGATGAGTACTCAAAATTCCACAGAATCATGGGTCAGGCCCTCCTTGTGAGAAGCTATATATATACACATCAGTTCCTCTGTGCATGCTGCATGAACAGGTTGTTTACATGTAAGTATGGTTCTTTGAATGGCCATCTAGTGTCTCTCATGCCAATGGGTTTTTAAACCTATGCGGAGACCTCTTTGGAATGTTCTAGAGCTGAGTAGCTTGGTGGGGACCCCACTCCTTGCACATCCTAGCCCACTAAGCTACTATTCCCTCAATTTTGAAGGTTGTTGAAAAGAACACAGAGGATCTTGGAAAGAATGCATAAAAAATAACCACTCAAAGAACCACAGTTATAGGTATGTGGCCTGTTCTCTTTCTTCATGGTCTTTCTGTATTTCACAATGGGTGATTGTGAAGCTTACTAAAGGATAATGAGTCAGGTTATTGTGTAATGGAAGGAAGAACAGTCCAACCAAATACGGTGTTTTCTCTCACCCTGCCCTCCAATTTCTCATGTTGCATGAATACTAAAATACTCTGCAGTCCAGGCAGCAGAGTCCTCATAAGCATCACTGCTGAAGAAGCCACAGCCCTGGTGGAATGAGCTTAAGCCCACTGGGCATAGTTTGCTTTGCCAGGATAGCCAGTAGTATGAGGGATCTGGTGATCCCTCTTACAACCACCATAACAGACACAAAGTTGATTGGATGTGAAAGGAAGGTGTACACTGTTTGTAGAAGGCTAAAGTGCAATATATAGCCAACTTTTCAACCAGTGTTGCAGATTTTGGGTGAAATGTAGACAAAACTGTGTTCTAATTAAGATGAAATTGGTACACTAATGAAATGAAAATCAGGGCACAGCACTAATTGGTCATCATAAAAGACCAAAAAGAGTTAATCATACTTAAGAGCCACCAAGTTTCTTGCACAACATGGTGAAGTCATTGCGACCAGGAATATGACTTTCAAAATCATGAATTGCTTGCGTTTTGAAACAAGAAACTTGGAATGGTCCATCCATCAGTTGTGAGAAGATCAGTGAATGACCACAGAGATGTTGAGTGAAAGAATGGCAGATATAGGTGGGATGACACTTCATGACCTTCTTTACAATAGGATCAGAGAAGAAGGTAGCAGTTAACTGATTAAATGTTTGATTAGCCACAATGACAACAATGTAAAATTTCAGCGATGAAAATGATAGGCCTTGTTCCTTAGGATTTATCAAGAAATGCAGAGCAGTGAAAGTATTTTTTCCAGAACATTCAGAACAAGAAGCACCTCAGTTTTTATGAATAAAATATTTTATTAGAATCCTTAAAAGAAACTTGCAAGACAGCTGCCAATCTAAGATTGTTTATTCTCCAAGTTGATAACCTCAACATCTGTATGTGTGAATGACATATCCGACTGTTGGCAGAGAGAATGACAGGAATCGATACATTGGCACCCCAAACAGGCAAGGAGGAAGGCATCTCCCACTGATTCTTCTGACTGCTACCCTAGAACAGAAGAGACTGCAATTCTTGTTGATTGTCAGAGCTCACAGATCAACCTGGGAAAGTACTGTTATTATTATCCCACTTTTATCTTGATTGAGACTTAAAGTGTAACTATTGAGATGAATACCCCAAATGACAGTTATCGTCGAAAACACTCAATGAAAACAGGACCACTTGTAATAGAGGGTATGAGACTGATCAAGTGAATCTGCCAAAACATTGTTTGTGCTAGCTAAGTGAACAACAATAAGATGAATACCTCTCACCAGCTTCAACAGCATCTCAACAGTCCAAAAAAGTATTGACGGCACCTAATAATTCCAAAACATTGATGAAATGTGCCAACCTGGCCACATTGTCCAAATGCCTGATCACCGTCTCCCAAAGCAGTTATTCTACTCTCAACTCAAGAAAGGGAATTGTAATGTTGGTGGACAGTAAAAGAGATTTAAAGATGGGCTTAAAGCTAACCTTAAAAACTGGCATAGACACTGAGAACTGGGAAGCCCTGGCCCTTGAGCACTGTAGTTGGAGGTCAGCTGTGACCAGCAGTTCTATGGAATTAGAAGAGGCAAAAATGGAGGGCGAAGGGGAAAAACTTGCCAAGAGGAAGGCATTTCAAGCCAACCCTGACTGGGACCACCTGGAAACCAATGTCCTCACAGTGGAAGAACATGTGGGTCAAGAATAGGGCTCTTACAGCCACCTACGTATCCACCACCATGACACTACACTTGGAAGGCCATCATGCTCGGACAACGAGGGATCACTTAAGGGGGAGGGAATTAATATATTAGAATGTATTATTCACTGTTTAAACCTGGTTTGAAACATGGGTTTTCCAAATTGCTGACTGAATTTTTTGAGGGCTACATTAGTGCTGCAAAGAAATGGGTACACACTTGAGAAAATTATTGGTCTATATTCCAGTCAGTCAGTAATTTATCCATATTGAAATGGCTGAAGATAATCCATTGTTTCTGTACTATTAGTCTAACAAAAATGCATGCAGTAGAGTATACTTTACATTTCTCTCTCTCATCTATATTTGGGGTCAGAAAGATTTCCTTTTTACAGGCCAAACTGTCCAGGTCAGCATGTTTTGATACCTATGATAAGTGTTAAGTGAATATTCAAGCATACTTGCTTGAGTTGTCTGCTGTGAACTGACATTCAAGATATTGGGACAGACAAAGGTTCTCCACCCGGAGTCTATAGCTATTCATCCTGCTTCTACATTCCACTTTCTTTCTGTTCGGGCATGCTGTGCTCTAAATTGCACAACTCCTTCCAACTCTCTGCAATAGCTCAATACTTCCTGGTGAAGGCTCAGTTGAGTTCAGAGTAATCTGAACCACATGCGTGAATCATTAGAAAGCAGAATCCCCCCCTCCCCCATTCTTTACTTCTCCTGCAACATCAGGCAGAAAATCTAGAGGATTTATCATATCATTTCTTGTGTAGTGAAGAGTAGTAAAATCAGGGGAGTTAAGGTCTAAGGAAGTTACATACAGTTAGGACATGGTACCAGGGCTGTCAAAGGTGGAATCATGTCCAATTAAACATTGCAGGGGATGGGGGGGGGGGGGGTGCAGCATGTGTGGACCAGCTAAATGAAACATATATTTGTTATAAATTACATAAATATATAATTATATTTTGTTGTTAACATATAATATATTATAATATATAATATACAATAGAATCTCACTTATCCAACCTTCGCTCATCCAACATTCTGTATTATCCAATACAGTCTGCCTCCCACCCGGATCCACAGCTCTTTCAATACATTGTGATGTTTTGGTGCTAAATTCGTAAATATAGTAATTACTATATAATGTTACCATTATGCTTTTTCTGTTGATTTGTTGTAAAACATGTTTTGGTGCTTGATTTGTAAAATCATAACATAATTTTACATTTAATAGGCTTTTCTTTAATCCCTCCTTATTATCCAACATTTTCGCTTATCCAATGTTTATGCTGGATAAGCGAGACTCTACTGTATACATTTTTGGTCGATTAGGGTCTTTAGTGGTTGATAGCTGACATAATTTTGTACGTAATTACTCTTTGCTTTGAAATTTACTTATTTTATTTTGGATGTTAGAAGTAATCAACACATAATGATACCACTGAGAAAGACAAAAATATATGTAATGATCAGGCCCCAGGGATACTATGCCAGGCCCCAATAATTTGTACCAGTTTCCTTCTTCACATTGACTCTGCTCAGTGGGTAGGTTTTGCTTTCAAATTTGCAACATAACTAAAGACAGTATCTAGAATCAGGAGGTTTCCCAGGATAGGTTGGCCTGAGAATAGAGGGATAACATTTTTCCTTGAAACTTGGGACATAGTTGTGTACATATTTTGATGGGTTGATAAACGGCTTTTTATAATGAAGGTCTCTATAAATCACTTTCTTTTACTCAAGTTGTACATTGTTGGTTGACATGCTTATCACATTAGTTGATGGAAGTTAATTTACAAGAACAGGTGTTTCTGAGGGGTATAAGGAGGGAGAAATTGGGAGGAGAGAAAATCATGCAGTTAATGGGCAAGTGAACTACATGTAGAAAATTCTGTCATAACATATGAAGTTAGATTTGTTGTGATATGATTGTTCATGCTCTTTCTATTATGTGATTTATGACTCAAAGCAAAATACTTCCCAAAGCATTTTTTCTCATCCAATATACATTAGACATTAAATATCTCCCTGCCACAAATAAGAAGAAAAACCCTGAAATTATTTTTGAATTACAGGTGGTGCACAAAATGCTTTTATTGTGCTTCTTGATTAGATCTAAATTATACAATGCGCATTCATCTTTTAAAATGCTTTATTTGTCAGAACATTTAATTGGATTCTTTTATCATCTTATAAGAAGCTTTGTGATATCAATGTATATGAAGGGAGACATACATAAATGGTGGCAGAAAAGTAGGGAGTAATAGGAAAAACAGATTAACCTAGGTCATTCTTTCATATAATGAGATTAGTTTCCATAGTCAAACAATTTGCACAGTGCTATTGTTATAAATGTATTTCATAGCTACTGTACAATTAACTATTGATTTTTCAAAGTTATGTTCTAAATTGCTAGAACACACTGTATACATGGTAAAGAGAACACACACTTACTTGCCTGTGTCTTTCAGATTCAGAGTTGGGGTGAATCTATTTGAGTGGAT